AATGGACAGCTTTACATGCTAGCCAGTGGATGCCGCTGGCGAGGTGCCCCCTCGGTCATGCCATGGACGTAGCAGAAACCCTGTCACCTGTATCAACACATGGGTGACAAGGCTCTTTGGAAAATCCAGGCGCTAGAGATGGTCAGAAAGTGGCGTCAAGTCCATCTGGCCCAATGTTCTCTGAAATGGTGGATCCGGGTCAGGTCCAAGCCAATCACTTGTCCTCACCTTGTTCTCTTGGAGGCCAGTTCGCTCAGGGAGCATGGCAGATGGAACAGCGAACCTGGATTTCACTCCGTTGAAACTACGGATCACAGCAAGCCGTTGACAGGGAATACAGTAGCGAATTTTGAATGAAGCTTTGTTGGCCGCTGGATCTAAATCAATGGGATTTATTTTGACCGCAATATATTGGATTTCTGAGCAGGGAATCGATTAATAAATATAAATATAGAATACTGGATTGTGGACATCCCAGTGAAATACCGATCAAATTTTAAAAATATAGCCGACAAACTGCCCCTGAATGCTTCCAGCGCTGGCTACCAAGAATTTTTTTCTTTTTGCGCCGTCAATTGCGTCCTATCTGTGCAAACAGACTCCCAGAACGAGGGCAGGCTTAATTTGCCTGATTTCTGTCCGAAGCTGCATCGTAAAATTTCGGCGTATTGTCACCTGACAACAATATAATTATCCTGCACCTATTCTCCACTATAATAGGTCAAACACAAAAGTGTGATCATAATTTTCAAAGTCTCCACTCGGAATTTCATTGATTTATTGACGATCGGCGGCATGTGCAGCCTGAAATAGGCTTGGCCTTGCCAAAGATGGCTGAGGAGTCAAGTTCGAGGCGTCATTGCCACTAGCTGCGCTGATCGATGACCTCGTAGGATAAAACCCCACTCTGCGTTCCCCTTGGCATTGCCTTGGCCTTAGGCCGTAGTCCGTCATCTTCGGCCGACCCCTTGGCCTCAAAGCCCAAGTCGCGAGCTTTGCCGCGAAACTCGATCGAGGTAATTATTATATTCACTGCCAAAGTCAAGCTTCCCTCCAAAATCCAAGCCTCGCATTCTTTGAGGAACTCAATTGGCTTAATCTGAACCCCCGCCGGAAAGCCGACACTGGACCCGTGCTTTTCAGGCCGACCAGATTCCGCAACAACTGCGACTTGCTACCACAGACAGCGCCCCAACCGGTCACCCGCATCACAGCTATATTTTGGTTTTTGTCACACTGCGGTGAGTACCGTTCTTACAACAGCTGAGCACCCCCCCATGCCGTCCGGCACCATGCTATAATAAGTTGGTCGACGGTCCGAAGAAAATCATCCAAGCTCACATCTCCTGCAGCTGTCCCGGCATGGTTTTGATTGACAAGTTCTTAGCAGTCGCAGGCTTCCTGGAGGCAGCTGCACGATGCTGATGCGAGTTTCAAGCAACCCAAAATCGCCAGAGGCGTTGTCATCTCGTGCCCATCAAGTTAAAATGTTGTGAAAATTGGGGCTGAAATTTGTTATATTATTAAATTTCTATTCTATCATGTCGCATCGTTTGTAATATCTGTCTGGAATATGAAATGTGAATTTAATCATAATATTGAATATTTTCAAACACTTTATCAAACCTTCAAAATTCTACAGGAATGAGTAGACATGTCCTTTCTTGTAGTTGGGGCAAGCGAAATATTGAAAAATGGCCTGGCCTGGCGTTATACGCTTCACAAAGCCAATGGGCCACTTACACGTTGCCAAAAATGTCCGCGACGAGGTACTTGGACAGCTCATCGATCTTCTCCTCCAAAACCTGGTCTGAAACCATGCTCGAACCAAGCCAAAGGCCGCGAACTATGTCGAATTTCGGGTCATTGATACAAAGGCCTTTCACAGGCCGCCGGTACGGATGTACAGCAGGACCTGCACTTTGTCCTCCTTGTCCTTTTTCCTAGCTTGTTGTACCTTCGACACGACGGTTATAGCTACATAGATCTATAATGATCTATATATTTCAGTGCCGGATCATATCTGCAAAATAGAAACCCGCAGATTTGAAAAAGAAAAGCTGCGGCGACCATGAGAACGGTAAACGGCATTTATTTTGTGACAAACACGAAAAATTAATCAATTATAACCAACCCCTCGATTTTGGATTAGTTAATGTAGCTAGGTACCGAAGACCGGAATAAGACCAATCTGTCACGGAACAACCTGGCTTGCAGCCCCTATACCCACCCAGAAACAATCCAGACCACCGCCCTGCAAGAAGGCGCGAAGCCCGTTCACGATATCGTCTATTTTGGATTTCGTTTCGTTTGTACACACTAAGAAAAAGAATCCCTTGCGCACAGGTTCGGCCAGAGGCCTCTTCCTGTTCCTCCCCAAAATCTGCGGGAACCTGGTCAGTAACCTAAAGTCTGGCGTGGCGTAATTACGACAAAAACATTCTATATTTTCTTCACTACCACGTGGTCTTGAAAAAGCATAGTGCCCGGTTAGTGATCCTGTTAATTCGGTCATTTTTTCAATGATATTTCCAGTGCGGTGGTGAAGACAAAGGGAAGGTAATTGCAGCGTGCTTTCATCAGGCAATGATGAAATATATGAAAGGTGCCCCAGTAGTTTTTCATGTGCCAGTGTGCCGCAAGCAGTGACCAGCGGACACTGCCTGATTTTGGCTGGTACCTGGAACCAACCTGGCCAGAGCCCGATGTATCGCCAACACAAATGGAAGGTAAAGATCACCATCTGTGTTCTCGCGTTTGCCATCATATATATATATGTTGTTATTAGTCCCTAACTATTTAGTTGGTTTTGCTTGGGTACTTCATGGTACTTTAATTTGTAGCTTCATCTTTTGCTATAAATGGGGCTATGAACGAATTGACCATGAATCTACATAGCCAAGTTGGGGCTCCTAGATAGCCAAGTTGCTTTATAATTCCAATCTATGGTTTATGAAACTTATAACATCTTATAACTATGGTTTTCAGGGATATTAATGGTGTTTATAAACCAACAAACATAACTAGGGGCCCCACATTGTTTTTCGACCTTTTGCCGGATAAGATTGAGAATGACTGAGGGCGTGGTGCCTGGAATACATCTTCGAATGATCTTTAGTGGTTGATTGGATATCTCGCTATGATAATTATGATATTAGATTGTCAATTTGATAACTCCTGTTGATGATCTGAAAAAAAGACATTCCAAGAACTTCATGATATAGAATCCCGCAAGAAATTGTATTTTAATGGCCATGGTGTCGCGCAGCTTCTAGAGCTTAGTTGGATGCTTCCCAGCTGTGACGGCTGAGTCCAAGGATCTCTTTGTGTCCTCTGCTGCACCATTTTTCATTGGCTAGAGTCTTGGCCCTTCATTGGCAAGGGAAATGGCATGAGATGTATGTCTGTGTGCTTGATGCACAGTCACATACTTGTACCATCTTGTACCCAATCATGATGATCAATCATCATAATGATCAATAATCATAAGATGGGACTGATCAGGGGCTACGTGAACATTGAGCCATAGAGCACACGAAAAAAAGGTAGTATTTTGGATGCCTTGAACATCCCTAAATCCATCATTCGTGGGGATAGGTACCACTCAGCAGATGAAAACGAAGGGTGGCCACAGCTTCGGCTGGCTTTGGGTGATTTGGGCTTGAAAGCTCCACCATTTCGGGTGATCTCACTTTGAGTTCTCCTGAAGAGATATACAGTACTGCATGAGCTTCCCGTATGATGGAATCATCAATGCCAAATTGTGGTACTGCAGAAGTACCGTACCTGGGCGGTTGGCAGTTTCAACTGTTGTTTCGTTTCAACCATAGAAGTCGCATGATGATCATCAACCGACTTTCTTTCAGGCGTTTGATGTTTGTGCGTAGTAATGGTCTGTGTGCAAGACCCCAATTCACCAAGCAATATACATTTGATTGTTCCTTGCCAGTTCCGCAGCCAACTCTGCTCAGGAATACCTACTGCCTGTGTGCTTGGCGCTTGTAACTTTTGTTTGTGCCTTGGTGATGAATTTCAAGGCACTTTCCGGAAAACAGCTGGAAGAACACATATGTTTTGAATATATTAGGGGTAATCACCCTAGGGAAAACGAACATAGATATGAAAAAACATTGGTTTCTCTAAGAAATCATTTGCACATGGTGGTTTCTCCACATCAATGTTAGTTTAAAGGAGAGCATGAACCCATGGTTGAAGTCGTTGAAGTTGAAGTGTCTTAAACGGTCCCTGTCAGAGCCCCACCCAGAGACTCTGATGATGTGTTGGGTCAAGTCAGATGGCTTGTTTTGGGATGATCATGTTCATGAATGTTCATAATCATAGTGGGGCCCCCGTTTACGATAGCCATTTTTGGGGGCAAATGTTGGTAAATATTCCATACATAGAGCATATGGGATAGCTAAGTTGGTGCAAATAACTGCCACAACTATGGTTTATGATACCCATAACTGTAGTTAATGGGGTTTATAAACCAACATAAACCAACTTATAGCTGGGCCCCACATTGTAGGAGTTCATATATCCAGATGTCCATATGGGGAATCCCATTCATGATGATACAGGCATTTTTGTCGACGGAGATGGAAAATACCACCCGAAACGGAGATGATAATCATGGTTCACCCCAAATTCGTAAAAATGTCACTTTCTCTAGTAATCCAACATGGAAATGGCCACAATGGCCACAATGGCCACAATGGCCACAATCCATCATAAAAACAGAGGATTTTCCCATGTCAATGTCCATGTCTGGTGGATCCAGCAGCAAATCCCCGATTGGTTTAACCAGGGTTTCCCCCAAAAGATTCCCATAGGCTGGTGATTCTCATGGCTAATCCAAGCAAATCCCATGGTAATTCCCATGGTAAATCCCATGGTAAATCCAAATCTTGTTTGTTGAGCAAATCCCATGGTAATTCCCAGGGTTTCCCAAGTAATTACCATTTTTTCAAGCAAACTGGAATTTTTCCTCAGGTGGTCTGATGCTCGATCGTGGCTACTTAGCCGAAGTGGGTCCGCGTCTCAGGAGGATGATCCGAATGGAGTGGCGCCGAGGATGAGTGGTTCGGTATGGAATGCATGGTTTTGATGGAAAATATTTTAAAATTATAGGATTATAGTTGGTTAATATTGGATTTTTAATGGAGAATATATAGGATTATAGTTGGTTAATCATATTCCATCAAAAATATAAGATTATAGTTGGATATAGTGGTATGTTCATTATAAAAATGCCCCGTATTTTTTCCGATTGAATTTCAGAAATTGAAGTATTGTCTCAGCATATTGTATATAATTGTATATATAAACTTCAGAAAAAATTGGGACGATCGAAGTTCCAGCCGTGTCTCACATTGAATGCGACTGAGAACTTCACATTTTTCATGCTGCTTGGTGGTGACTGGAATCATGGAATGAATTCAATGACTTTCCAATTGGGAATGTCATCATCATCCCAACTGGCGAAGTCCATCATTTTTCCGAGGGGTAGGTATACCATGGTATACCACCAAACAGAATGTCATATACCACACACACTACATGTTTTAGTATGTCATATATGTAGTAATTCAAGCGCATGGGTTTGAAATGATTTGATCAATGAATTAACATCAAGACTTTTACATTGTCCAATGTGGTGAGACATAGTAACTAAGTACACTGTATAGCAGTCACCAAACAGATGCAGAAACGTTGAGAAAACTTGGAAATGACAGAGAACACATCGTCTACACTTGCGGGTGCAGTTGGTGGTTATTGATGGCTAAAAGGCAATGCCCATGGGATTTTAACTCTTGCTAGCTTGAATACAACCCCTATAATGTATATACATATATACAATGTACCTATACCCACTTATTGGTTGTGGAGTTTGTTAACTGGATAGTAAACCCTTATCACTGGGTATATAGCAGAATAACCTATTTACTAACTAGTCAACAGACTCCGCGGTCGGTCTAAGTATCTGACAACCAAAACTTAGTCATCGTAATCACTTTTGAACCCATAGTCATCCTAAATCACATATATATATATATATATACATATATACATACATGCTATAAACCATTATAAACATGTTTTCCTTGACGCTTCCACTCGTTGTTTTCCAAGCTCTGTTTTCGCGTTTGCTCGACACCTCGAAACGGTCGAGGTGCGGTTGCGGCCGCGTTGCTGTTCTTCGTGCCACGGCAGATGACTCCAACGAGGAATGGATCCCGGAAGTGGTATATTTTATGTGGTAAAGCCACTTCAATGGTACCAGTTGTGAACCATGTAAAGTTGTAAACCAAAAAATGTCCCACGTTTATAACCATGTATATTTGAAGCCCTAGAAACTAGAAACCAGTTATCAATATATGGTTAGACATGGGATGATCATACCATAAATGGTGTGACTTACTGACTTATAAGTGGTATTTTGGGCCGTAAGTGCAATGCCATAGTCAAATTCCCCAAGGCTGGGCGTTGCAGTTCGGGTTCGTGGGATATCAAAATATCGTAAAATGTAGCAAGAATCCACAAAAGTTGGGACATAAGCCGTGTTTTTCTGCACTCCATTAGAGGCTGTTCGGAATTTGGGTCGACGGGTTTCTTCGGTGAGATGACTTAAAATGACCCCCAGTCATGGCTGAACGGGATGGTCGTTACCTCAGCTGGTACAACCAGATGGAAAGTCAAAAGCAGACAGGGGGCTTGGAAAGATCGAATTCCCACGAAAATTGTCTGGTTGGTGGTTTGGAACATTATGTTGTTTTTTATCCATTCAGTTGGGAATTTCATCATCCCAACTGACTCATATGTTTCAGAAGGGTAGGTTGAAGCCACCAACCAGATTTCGTCATCCAAAAGATCGACAACTGAGGGAGTCCCAACGGTGCATCTCCATGAGTCGACCATGTTTTCCACTGGCTTTCCTATTGGATATCCAGGTTATTTGGCTATCCTTAGCTATCATGATCTATGCATCAGTCAAAAATCATCATTGCCGTTGAAAGCCAAATTGTGAACAGTTAAATCGACCATGTTTTCAGAATCAAATCACAATTTTTATTGGTCAAATCACCACTAGAATTGTTCAAATTACGAAGTTTGCTGGTCAAATTATATTTTTTCATGGTTAAACCCATTTGTATCCATTTGTTTCATGGTGAAATCACCAAAAATTGATCCCTCTTTTATCCACCTCTGGGACTGAGGTCATGCTTGGCACGCACGAGAGTTTAGAGATGCTTGGCCGCATCTGTGGTAAAAGGCACGCCAAAAACCATGATTTTCCCAGGCAACAAAAAGAACTAAATGTGTTTCATGATTGTTTTTTTCATTATATGTTTATGTATGGATATCATTGATTTAAGTTAGTTACATATACAATTTGATGAATTTGATTGTTGACCTCACCTCGAGTCGTCACTGGAATGATGGGAATTGGATTCGGAGAATCATCCCCAAACTGCTGCAAGTCTCAGCTATTTTGAGGTTCGTGAAATGTTGCAATTCAGCCAGGTACATGTATCATTTCTACATATTATTAAATGATGTCATATACTGTATGTGCAGTAGGGTATCATCCCAAGAAAATGATTATTTCCGCTTTGGGTTTTGGTGTGATGTGCCCAGGGTAATGTTTGACAGGAAACCCAAAAGAAGAATGGGATGGATTTGCGCTCCAGGCTCGTAATTTGAAGGGCAATGCATTTCAAGGATTTTCCATAATCAATACATGCACGCAACTAACAGTCATAGTTTAGATTTTAAATGCATTCGTTCACAGTCCAAATCGAAATACCAGAGTGTCATATAAGTTCATGTCCTGTCCTATTCCAACTCATCGCATAGTATAATTTTGTAATATTTTGTATCATATCATTTCATATGAGGTCATTTGATGGCATTTGATTCAACATACTGTGACTACAATGGTTGTTGAAGGCTTGTTTGTTTTCTATGTTACTGTTGACTTTCCAGGCTATTCTTGATGGTAAGTCATAAACAACTGCTTCAGCATCACCGGGGCATACCGGGGGAAGCCATGTTTCCCGTCATAGGCCATGGCGGATCTCGTCATCTCGTGTAGAGTTTTGGACAGAATGGATCATTTTTTTTTCATGTTGGGATTTGTCCACCCAAATGAAAAGCAATGGTTAAATACTTGCATAGACCTCTTGATATACATAAAATGGGTAATTGTATATCAAGAGGTTGATTAACTCCATTTCTTACATGGTTAAATTTTCTCTCTCAATGTCCATTACTTACATATCTCCATAAGATTGAATCTCCATTTTCCATTGTGCAGAAATGAGTTGCAGAGTCAGTCCTCCCGGCTGCCGAGTCAATTGGGCGACCAGCAGCGCTGCACGCCGCCCTTCATCAAACATTGCTTTCGACATCCGGAGGTCCTGCAGTACTGGGGTGCCTTGGTTGAGACATGCTGTTGATTGTGATTCTCACGGGATTTAGACACAGTTGAACCATTAAAAAAAGGGTTTAAGCAACAGAATAATGTTCTCCACGCTGGCAAGTTTCAAAGTAAAGCAAACTCAAAAAAGATAGACGAGGTTTCTATTGTTTTGTTTTGAATTTTATTTTACTGGACTCTGTCGAAATTTGTGGGTTACATTTTGGTCTGTCAAGCCTACTTTTCGCAGGGGCATCAAGCCTGGCACTGTTTGGATGATCAAGAAGCCTGCGATCGCTTATCCCATCTATTAAATGGGTCACAACTACCCTCTGGTAAACTAACATAGCTATTGAAAATCACCATTTATAGTTTTTTTACTCGTTTAAAATGATGATTTTCCATAGCTATGTTAAATAACCAGAGGGTATGGTTCCGAATCACTTGCGATTTGTGGGATGATCCTCCTATCATGTCCGATCTGCTGCTGGTCATCCCCATGATCTGATGCCAAATCCCTATGTTTCTGCGTTTGTCAAAGTGGCATTATGTGGGGCCGTGTGGGGTCAGAAAGTTCTTCTACATTCCAAGAACTTGACCAGGTCCAAGTTTAAATGTCTGATTGTGGCAATTCATCACTTCTGCTTGGGCATCACAGGAATCCCAGTCGTTGCTCTGGGCCTGTGGGCCTCCAAGATTGTTTCCTGTTGGTTGACATTAAGCTCACTAAATTAGGCTTCCCATGCTTTGTGGTAGATGTATAAACATCGTTTTTACAAGGTGGTGCCCGCCCCCCATTTATGTCTGTTGATTAAAAACACATCAACTATTGTAGTTTGAGAAATCTAAGTCATAAAATTCACCTAGGCAAATGGTCACCAACTTAACTATTACCGCTGAGGGCACCACCTTGTAGGCTTATCGCATAAACCAACAACCGTTCCGGCGGCGTCCACAGTAAGGCCCCCGAACAGAGTTTAAAGGATGTTATAAGTGATGTTTCCTCCATGATTCTCAGGTTTCCAACTGTTCTATCTTTTTTTGGTTGCGGTATAGTATGGTTTATGATAAATATATCGAAGATGATTGAGCGCTCTTGCATACTTAAACTCGGGCGAACATAAAGCAATAAATAGTTTGGTATGTATATATATATATACAATTATATACATACAGTATATACATATTGAATAATGATGTATATACTAAATCTAGAACTATAGCTTTTCTTATCTATATGAACAATAAATATTATCATATTTTTCTTACCGCTTGTATGGTAATATATTTGGTGCTTCATGAGATGATTTGGTGCCCCGGCTGTGGAGCTTCGAACTGCGCTGCTTCGCGCTCCAAGACCGAGGCGAACGCTGGTGTCGTTTGGGCTTCAACGCCCAGAAGCGGCAGAGGCGCCAGCAGAACCATCCTAGCAGAACCATGCTGTGATTTGATAATAACCAATCAACGTAGAAATAAGCTTCGGTGATATCCCCAATTAACAGCCGCAACGTTTTATTTTTACAAATCTTTCTGAGGCGTGCTGCGAAGCCAAGGGCTGAAAACACCTCAGCGTGCTCCAAAGCTTCCCAGACCTTCTTCGGAACCCTGTTGAACCTGACCTGGCTCTGCACCAAAGCCTCCCGGAACCTTCTCCGGAACCTTCTCCGGAACCCTGTTGAACCTAACCTGGCTCTGCACCAAAGCCTCCCAGACCTTCTCCGGAACCTTCTCCGGAACCCTGTTCAACCTGACCTGGCTCTGCACCAAAGCCTCCTTGGTTTTGCACCAAGGCTTCCTGGAACCTTCTCCGGAACCTTCTCCGGAACCTGTTGAACCTGACCAGGCTCTGCACCAAAGCCTCCCAGACCTTCTCCGGAACCTGGCTCTGCACCAAAGCATCCCAGACCTTCTCGGGAACCTTCGGAACCTTCTCCCGAACCTCGTTGAACCTGACCCGGCGCCTGCACCAGCGCACACCGGAGCTGTTCTGGGCTGAAGAGCCCATTAGCTTTCGCTGTTGGGGTAAAAACGCAAAAACATCATCAACCATCATTGATTTGTTCAGTTGTATCCACTTATTATATAAGGATGTGTCAAGTTACCTATGAATTACCATCTTTGGATATATTTGGGGGAATAACCGTCCATCACGCAGTGAAGCAGCTATTTTAGGGTACCGTTTCATTACTAGGGTATGTAGGGTTTTGACTCATAGCCATATTGGAATTGAATTTGAATATTCTTGGAAATGTTTTTCCGTCTTAGCAGCAAGGCTAAGCGTAAATAAACTTTCAAGGCGGAGTCTTGTAAACACCAATGAAGGTGATTTTCGTCCGAATCCGTGAAAAGGATTTTTTTGGTTAATCATTTTTTTTGAAAAATAACTTTTTCCGAAGTCATCTGAAGCAGGGGTCTCAAAACCAAATTCCTTGAAGCACTTTCTCCCATCAACGTGTGCATTTTTTCTCACCCCATCACTTAAAACCCGCTCACTTAAATGCAACCTTTTTGTAATGGAACCCTGAGAAAATTCAAACATGTTTGATGTCTTTATAAATGCCGCCAAGCGGGGCGCTAAAATAGGTAGAGTATCCACCAAAAAGATTCAAACAATGTTTGAATTGCCTTCCTATTTCACAACGTGGTGCCCCAAAACCCTAGCTAAGTTGGTATTTCACTATGCGAACTCCTGGGTTTAAGGTGATGTTGGTTATCTATATTAGCGATTGGTAAGAAACCAACAAACAATACTGGGAGTCAGCGTTTGCACCTTTTGCAACTTATGTTTGTTGGTTGATGTTCACGCCAGAAAAATAGTTCGATATATCCAGTTTTTCAGCCATAGTGAAATTGGAGTTATTGGCACCAACTTAGTTTGTAGATTTTTTAATTAACTCTAAATAATATGTATTTGTTTATTAGCCTTTGCTATTGCGGTGGAGAACCCTATAAATCGTAGTTGTCTGGAGAATGTTAAGTTTCCATAGATACATAGAACCATAGTTGTTATATTTGAGCAGTGGTTTGATCAATTATATTATAAATCCGCCATAGTTTACAGTGACCATGTTTAACTATAGGTATAACAAGTTTTGTTGTTCCAATAATCCTTCAGTTAAAGCCCTAAAGCCAGTTGTTTTTTGTGGTTATGAATGGGGTGATCATTCCATAAATGGGGTGACTTACTGGCATTCATAGCTGGCATTTCGTGCCATAACTGCAAGGTGGTGCATTCCCAGTGAAATATTGGTTTATAAACTTCATGAATAGTACAGGTGTAATATCCCCTATAAACCAGAATCGTTGGATGGAAACACAACCTATAAACCCATTTTTTATGCTTATAAGTGTGCTTCTCGAAATCCATTAAAGACATCCATATGCATAGCTATGATCCATGAACTGGTTGGTGGTTTGGAACATGTTTTATTTTCCCATATATTGGGAATAATAATCCCAACTGGCGAACTCATATTTTGCAGAGGGGTAGGTATACCACCAACCAGATTACTATTAACCATCATTAACCATATAATGACCATATATTGACCATTATTAACAGTATACTAACCACACATTAACCACATATAATAACCAGTTATTTTTAGGTACATTGGGGTAACAAGTTTCCGGCAACCTCGGCAGGTATCCCTTCGCCATTGTGGTCGGTCTCACCGCCCTGGTACGCCCAGCTTTCTCACGGGGTCTCACGGGGAGATCAGAAACCATCCAAAAACCATCTTTCTAGAATTATTATGAATTATTCATATACTTAATATATTTCAACCATAATTACATGTATGATATATATATATGTTATACATCATTATGTGCATGATTAATGATTTTATTGTATATATAAAGGCGTCTTGGCGTGTGTCTCAACAGGCCCTTTGTGCTGGTGAAATCCCAAGACAACCAGACAAATCTTCATCGCTGCGTCCAACGATGGTCGTGAAGAACCCGAATCCGTAACATAAAAAGATACTTAAATGGTGGTTAAAACATATTAATGTGGTTAACATATCAATGTGGTTATTATTAACGATACTTAATCTGTAACATACATATTAATGTGGTTAAAACAAGAATAAACACCCCACTTTTGATGGTCTATACCACCCATAAAAATGGTGATGACTGGGGGATGGCTTATTATTGTTTTAACCACATTATATACTTTAGGTGGTTTTCCACTGTTTCTGTCTGGTGGTTCGATCCCTCTCATCTTTCATCTGGTCCGCGTAGTTATCCTAGCATTTCTAGCGCTAAAACTAGATATATTCCAAGCTTCTTTGATCTTATCTACTTAGATATCCACATAAATATTTACAATCATATAGAACCTTAAAACCATATATATATATGTGTGTATTCAAGATTACCTAGATAGCCATGATAAATCACAGATATCCCTAATTACAATTGTTACTCTCTGGTAATGACTAACAGTTCGCGAACTTGAACATGGCCATCCAGTTCGTTGATTTACCCATAAAAGATGGTGATGGGACATGGCCTTTTGTATCATATCCGCATTATCCCCATATGTTTCTGGTTGAAACATTATAGTCTCCCATGTTTATCAGCTATAAATCCCATTCAATACCCATGTTTGACCCTAAACCCATGTTTGTTGCTGAAATCACAACTTTCCCATGGTTTTTCCTATGGTGTTCACCATGTTTTCACCATTTTCCTACGGGTTTTCCTGGTGTTTTAACCATTTTCCTACGTTTTTCCTAGAGTTTTCCGCTTGAGTCACCGCCGTTGGGTCCGGTGTTTTCTAAACGATTTAGGTCTTCGGGTCCTTCCGCTTGATGTCCCTGACCTACGCGTGTCAGCCGCGACAGCACTGGGAGATTCTAATGTTTCAACCATTCTCACGGGGAGATGCAGCAAATATATTTATATCCATTGATATCCCATAGGATCCATGGTGCTGGTATATTAGTGCTAACATTGGGGGTATATTGATGGGATCCATGTTCCCATATATAGTAGCACCATGGATCCTATGGGCATCCATAAATGGTCGATTTGCCATACATATATATATATATATTTATATTTATATTGCAACCCCGAAGAAGATGCAGCAAAGTCAAGGTGTATCTTAAAGTGGGACAGATCATCCTTAAAAATGCGAGAATTATAGAACTAAATGCTTGATTCTCCATTGCCAAGATTTGGTGATGTGGAAGGATATACACATATAATATATACGCAACCCCCAAGCAGATGCAGCAAAGTTAAGGAAACCTGGACACTAGCGGGAAACATTATCGAACCAACATTCTGGAAACATGTTTCTATCTTTCCAGGGGTTGCAATAGATCCAAACATCACCTGCATCAATGGATAGAAATGGAACTCAATTCCGGATTTGTAATCAACCCTAACTTTTACTGGATCATCCAAGTGTTTTGTTGACCAACTTGAAAAAATCCCTCTATTTTTGCGAATTCCATATTGACGCCTTTGATTATCCCCAAAGTATCCATTAATCCTACCATCGGACAATCCAAGTCAAAATGTGACCAGGTTGACTAAGTTCACCAAGTTGACTAAATGCACTAAGTTCATGAAGTTCTCTAAGTTCCCTCAAGTTCTTCCATCCAGGTATGTGTATGATGCTCTACGTGTGCTTACGCCTTCTCTGGATGCGAGTCGAGGGTTATGGCGGCTGGTTCTATGCCTTCCTGGTGCGAGTTTTCCGGGGCCGCTAGGGGTGGGGGTGCTTGGGGTTCCGATATTTCTGTTTATTTCCTGCATGAAAAATTCAAATCGTATATTATATATATGTATTTACAATAAACATGACTGCATTTTCAGTCAAACCCACAATATATATATATATGTAAATACATATATATATATATTCATATTTAAAAATATGTATATATATATATATAATTATAAATATATATATATATATATGTATATACACATTTTTAAATATATATATATATATATACATATGTGTATATATATATGTGTGTATGTATACATATATATCCCGCCGGACGGATCACCGGCCCATGATTTCAGGAAAATGATGTTTTCGCCATAGCGGCGTGCATGTTTCATGTTCAAAATGACCATGACAAAAAATCACTGAATTCAGATGGCTTGTTAACCCGTACAGGGTTTTGTGTTCAAAAAGGATGCGAATTGAAATCACGCCTTTTTCACAGCATTAAGAGCTGACGTCCAGTCTTTGAGAGGAGCTGGCATGTTCCCATCTCCCAGCGCCACTGTTGAATTTTAATGTACTTCCACAGCTTTGGGTTTGGCTTTCCTGCGCAGTGGCTGCTTCATCAAAGTCCAGTAGGCATCCAAGGTTCCAGTGTGAACCCGGATGTGACCACGTCCTTTGACGTATCTCCACACACTGAAGACATCTTTGCTATGGTTGCACTGTCGCAGCAACACTTTGTGTTGCTTGCACATCCCTTGTAGCAACGTAAGTAGAAGTGGCGTAGCACTTCAGTGACGAAGCAATTGATTGCAACGTACGTTTTTACCCCACCCCACCCCAACCCCACCCAACCCATCCACAAAACGTGGGCCGGTAAACGGTCCGCTAGCATATATGTATATCTATATATATATATATGTATATATATGTATATGTATATATATATATGTATATATATATATATATATATATGTATATATGTATATGTAAATATAAATGTATATATATACATATATAAATACATATATATTTACATATATATATATATATACATACATGTATGTAAATATGTATATGTATATATATATATGTATATATATATATATATGTGTGTATGGGTTTATATTTGTGTATATGTAAATGTATATATATATGTATAAGTAAGTATATATATAATTATATATATTTTTTTATTTATATATGTATGTATATATATATGTATGTGTAAATTTATTTCTACAGATGTATATATGTATGTAGGTATGTATGTGATGTAATGTAATGTAATGTCATGTCATGTACTGTACTGTACTGTACTGTAATGTAATGTAATGTAATGTAATGTAATGGTATGTATGTATGTATGTATGTATGTATGTATGTATGTATGTATGTATGTATGTATGTATGTATGTATATATACACATGTATTTTTGTTTGTATGTGTGTATGTATTACTAAATGTACATGACTATGGTACAAGTACAAAACCATATCAATAAGCATTGGCATAGGCATAAGTATATAGATGTAAACATAAGTTTCATGAGTACATTTATGTACGTGTCTATTCAACAATCTTTCGTATCATCTTTATGGGGTTCATCAGGTGGAGTTTTAGGAGATGAACTGTCCGAAAATGGAGAAGGCCCTCAAACCTGTGACAGTTTTTTTCAGGGCGCGGATGATGAACGTAAAGCAATAATGAAATACTGACCCTCTGGTTATTTAACATAGCCATGGAAAATCCCTTATAAATGGAGGTTTCTAGCTGGGAAAATCGTCTATAAATGGGCCATTTTCCATGGCTATGTTAAATAACCAGAGGGTAAATACATTATGTTTATGGTTTATAGTTCCCATTTGGAGATGGTAATTTGGGGATGGTAAAACCTATTGCTGCTTGAACGATGTTCACAACCTCTGTTGGTTGATGATTGTAGGGGATGGTACTAACCAAACTATATGATCATCATAATCCATGTTGGGAATCGCAAGTTTTGAACACTGCTCACATTTGTTCGGGTTGTACCAACTGAGCAATACTTTTCCTGGCACATTGACATTAGCCGTTGCTACAGCTGTCGATGTTCGCAGGAATCTTTTGTCGAAATCATTCTGCTGAACATCATCATCATGATGAGCCATGGCGTACTGCTGGGACTAGCGTAGAATCCATGCAAACCTGGTACTCGTAGGTGTTTCTGTCCGGTTTCTTCTAGGTTCCTTCATTCGCAATAGTGTAGATTCCCATTATCCATGGCATTGTCAGCTGGTTGTAGTGTCGTAATGCTACTTTCCACATTTGGCAAGAGTTAAATGGGTCACCAAAGAATTATGAATCATCGTTCGCGTGTCCATGTTTTTTTCTCCGGTCTCTTACATGTTCTGCAGGGCGATTCATGGCAGCATTGTATACCTAAGATGAGTTCCGTCATGGCAAGATCATGATGTTTCTTTTTCCACCCCCGTTTTTGTTGATAAACTTGGCCCCTTGGTATCTGAACAGTTTCAAGAACCCCAGTTGGTTCATGATTGTTACGGAAATCGATGACCCAAATAGAAGTTATCATCCAGCATCAAAATCCCAATGAAGCCGGCCATATTTTTGTTGTTTTCCAAAAAGTGATTAAGCATCATTCATTGAGTATGACAGCACGATTTCGATTCTTAAACCATGTTAAACATCCTCATGTTCTCCATGTTTTTTGCTTGAACCTACCATGTTGATACCGTTTATGCTGTATGTCCCAAGCTTAGCCAGGTACATCTGGGGTCTCGGAAGTTGCAGCCTGCCTTCAAAACATCACCAAGGACCTCTCGAAATCCTCTGCGTGACGGTGCTGTAGTTCTCATCTTGGCGGTCACTGGTCAGTTTGGTGGTGTTTGAACATGGAGTACACCCCAGAAATGGCCAATGTGTCTACAGCTATGGCCCTGGCCCAACAGTTATCAATGGGATGAGTTATAGCTCCTAAAACTAGTTGGTTATATATCATGAAATAATCCCAGTTATATATATATAACCGTTAAGGGCCACAACTGTAGGAAATATATGGAACTATGACAAATAACCCAGGTCATGGGACACTAAATGGCTTTGCCGGAAAATAGGTTGCACCTGAATCAGTTGGCTAATCATCAATTTCCCCCAGTTAGAAAATTTTCAGCTTACGGGTAGACCCCATTTTCATAGAAAAGTGAGCCCACAATTTGGAGCACCTTCGAAGGGTATGTTGGTCCATATGTCTAATGACTATAGGATTCATGTTGGAAATGTCATGAAATGTCTAACGGTTTGGATGAGTTTATCAACATTTATAAACCAATTTGCAATTCGGGGGCCCAGGGTGTAGAGCTAGGTCAGCCCAGATTAACACGGAGAAATGATGCTGGTGATGGTGGGTTTATGCCATAAACATGGAGATTTGGGAAACAAAATCGTGGAAGTTCACGATGAGCTGAAAGGCCAATGCCGTGCTGAAGCCGGGAAAGCCTCTTCTAGACATAGTGGAAGTTGGAGGAGTTAAAGAACAACCAATCAGCGCTAAGCGCGAGGAGCATTGAAGAGTATGAACATGCCTTGCACATCCTTGCACATTTGGAATTCAGTAGTAACCCATAGTAAGCCGCGGGTATCAAACAAATTTGATATGATGATTTTAGAATCGGATTGTGCTTTTCTTTTTTGCTTGGAGGGCGGTGCCACAAAATCATCATGATCCATGGTGTTTCGTGTCTATCAGTCATACTTCTGGAATCGGAAATACCTTGACCTAGTTTCAGTGAATACGTCGACTGCGAGATATCCTATCCGATACCATCGTATTTGATCCATTCAACAAGCCAAAAAGCAGATATTTACCTCAATATGCTATAGAGATCACCTCCTGAATTTCTCAGCGAACACCTACGTCGATATACGACTTTGATATCCCACAGGAATTGAGTGTCGACCGGTATTTTTCCAGCCTGTCCACTAGGTGATGCGACAGTCCCTCTGCGAGAAATGCTGGCAGCTGGAGTGATGGGCAGATCATGAATCTGAGCCATAGGGGCTGTAAAAGGATGGTGAAGATAGGTGAAATCAAATATGGCGGTTTTTTGGGACATCCCTTGAACTATCCACGTAGGTTTGTTTGGAGATTTATAGCTGGGGAACGGAGGATTCTCCAACACGCCATGGAGGATTAGATCAACCTAAGGCCACAAAGAAGCTACCGTATCAGGTTTGTGTCTCATTCTTGAGATCCTGGTGTTCTCTGTTGATTTTTTCAAGAATGGCTATATAGCCCGTTAATCATCCTTCATGTGTTTTTTGGCAATAGTACTTTAGTTTTAGACCAGCTATTGAGCACCAGTAAGTGTTTCAAGGAACAAATCAATCTGGATATGCCCAATCAGTTTGTGTTCAAGATCCAGGGGTGGGAATCTTTGCCAGACCCAAAATTGAACCACTTGAAGCTGCCAGACATGTGAATCTGAAGCGTTGGTTGTTTTAAATGAATGTTCTCCACCTCCTACCCGATGAGTTGTCCTGGAAATCTCCCAAAAAAACGTTGGATTACTTGTAGCGCTGGACCAGCTGGATCACATTGTTTTGGGGACTCGGCTGGAAGTAGCTTCATTGGTCTTTCTATAGGTTAATATCCAGCCATAACACGCGCATTTTAAGCTGCACCACGGACCTGAGGCTACGCCCATGTCCTGCACTGACCATGACAAATCTCATTGCAGGGTATGGCTGAGGATACATAGCCAACCTCTGGAAACCTATTGAAAGCCTATTTACACAGTTATTGCCATTTATCAGTTATAACTTGTAACATGTTATAAGTTATAACTTGTTATTTCTATTGCATTATACATTCTAGAATGTGTTTATATATACGTAAGTATACTTATAACTGGTATTTCGGGCCATAGCAAGATATTCATTGAAAAATCATGTTCTCTAGGTCAATCTTAGATGATCTTAGATGGGTATTTTAATCCCTTAGTCTTTTGGTATCGGACTATCTACTAACCAGCTAAGAATTTATTTTTTTGCAGGGTATCTACGATTGGCACTGTCTAAGTTACGGGATCTTGCCCCGGTGGCTGGTTGTGCCAAAGGTTCGGCTTCCAGCGTGAGATCAATTCCGGCGAGCGCGTGCGACTGGTGACTGGGCGTGGCTGGTTTTGACCCCTTTTCAGCGAGGAATTACTATACCATGGTATCATATGGTATCTCTTACATATGGTATCTCTTACATAATCATGTATTTATCATTATAATACATAGATATTTTTCATGTATGTGACTATAATCCCATTAATTATATTTGTTTGTATGCGAATTTTCATTGGTCCAAGGCGAGTATGATCACCTTGGGCCTTGTACGGGACACTTGGCATTGGTGAAGGGCAAGGGGTTGACCAACATACCTGGGAAAGCTCATCGTTTCATCATCGAATGGTCAGAGAAATGGGTAGTACCACAATATATATATATATATACGCCATGTGTTCAACCATATATTTTCATCATTTAATGCAATTGAGTTCTGAGTTCATGTATTTTCATCATTTGTCCATCAAACATGTGGGCGATACTGGCGTGGTTACTTTTACCTGCAATGGATACTGTGCAAGTAAACCGCCCCCGTTAGTTGGAATGTTCTGATTGGTTTTGCCACAGTAGTTGCTAGGTACAATCATTTCATCTCTGCCCACACTAGATTTTAACCTTCAATTGGTATGCACCCTCTGGTATTTTAACAGTTTATTGTGAAAGTCACCCACTTTTCTGGTTCGGTGATGGCACTGAAAACGACCCATGCTGGGAAAGGCAGTTCTGGGAGAAAGTAGCAGAGGGTCAATCATCGCTCACTAAAGTTTGCATACCAAACTGTTCAACAAATCCCAGAGAGGTTTTTCTTTAAAGAAAAACACGTCGATGCTTGGTGATTTTCCCATCAAAGCGGATGGCTATCCCCCCATCGATAGCGCTTAATTTGACTTGTTGTAAGGAAACCCCAAATGATGCTGGGATGACCACACCCCACATACAATGTTTTGACAGTGGCAAATACCAGGACTGGTTATCTGATTGTGACGAGCATGGGCAATGATGATCAGTAATGTGTCATGAAAACAACATCCAGCACAGTTGCGACATGGGATTGTTGTAAACCCATGCTCAATCAACCGTATCAATCATTATCAATCAAATTCTCATATTTTATCCATGGTTTCGAAACTCGGGAGAGTGCAGCGTAGCCTGAAACAAAGTTGCATAGCAGGATGAAACTTCTTCCATGTGCCAATTTGATTCCTCTAAAACGAACAGGGAATTTGCCTTCTCACTAGGAAAGTCTGGGGTGCTTGCAGGCCAATATTTGACATGGAAACTCTTGCGAGAAAAGACTTTTCTAGCATGGCATTCAAAGATATCCATTTTCACTAGGATATACTAGGATCTTTTTCCCTTTGCACCTAGTTTGCACAACTGTGGCACTGTCCCTCCAGCTACATCTGGGCGACTCTGGCACCCCAAGCTCAGGTGATGTTGCTCGGTCTCGTTCCGCGCTTAGCACTGTGCGGTTCTGCGGGAGAACTGCTGGCGGTCTATCAGGACAACCCAAAAGGGTGGAATGAAGTGTCATTTCTTGAAGTGCTACTGCCATTTTAGAGAATTTCAGATACAAGCATGGAATGTTCAGAATGGAACTGAATGGTTCATGATCCCCTTTTTAGTGTTGTGTTTGACCTGAAATCTGTGGGTCTGGGGTCACCAACTAACTAAAAACCCACAGATTTCTTGGAGTGGGACCCAAACTGAAGCGGTTCATCCGAAAATGTGGGTTTGACTGAAAATCACAGATGTCCCCAAGTTGCAAATTTGGAGCGTGATATTTTCTGAAATTGTTTGATAACAAATAGTTGACCAAGCATTTCCAAAATTTGAGACAACACCCCTTTTTTGAATGGTGCGAAGATACTGAGGACTGCACTAGATGTAAGCCTCTCCAAGTCTTCGTCCGCAGCCGAAAAGCAAGGTTTGCTTCGCACTGTCCAGTGTTTCGGATGACAACTGGAGCGCGTTTCTTGGCACTGGGGGGTTGGCAGACTTCGAATAGCAACGATGGTTTGTGTCGTTGAAATATGACTACTAAGTAATAAAGAGTAGCTTAAGTGGATCCCTTTTTTACCCTCGATGTGGTTACAGTACACACGAAGGACCATATGATCCTGATGTTTGGTTTTCAATGTGTTTGCAAGTCATTGGTAAGCACATCCTCGTAAACAGCTGTGAAATCATGCATGTTGTTTGTAATTGTGTAATGGCATCTGAGATCTATCGTCATCACTATATTGTTTGTAATGGCATCTGAGAGCTATAGTCATCACTATTATACTATATTCTTGGATGTGGTTTGTGACCACCAAAAACACGGTATGCTAGTCCCATCAAGGCATAGGAATCATGGAAAGCAGGTGATGTGGCGCTTGTCATGACCATTGCCATCGCGATTCAAGAAACGACGTTCTCACCATAATAGGTTAACTATTCAAGCAGAAGTTAGTCCACGCTATAGGTTTTCATCCAAATCTGCTGGACGCGTTGGTAGAATTGCTGGTAGATCGAATTAGATGGATGTGTTTCGTACGTCCAGTTCGGAAGTTGCCATCTTTTTCCCAATGGATGTATCACTATATTATATATAGTATATCATATCCATGTATATCCTATATAGTATATCCAGTTTGAAATATGAATGCTTCCCCCAGGTATCACTGTAGATGTTGCTTCAACAAAAATCCAGGCTGTGGAGATGTGTTGTCTGGGATCGCGAGCCGCGAGCCCTTGCAGATACCTAAACTAGATGGGTAGTTTTCCATATCAAGCCATATTATGAGGCTGTCCCCATCTGTAGACCTTATGTAGGCAACATTGAATGTACCGAGTCATTCCTTGTCAAACCTTGTCAACAAAGAACACGACCCTTCAATCTCCAAATCGAGCCGACAAGTGGATGGCCAAAGCAAGGAGAGCAAACTGGGTTTGTTCGATGACTCCAGCACAATGCCGAAGAGATTTAACTGAGAGTCCGTTAACATTCCCCAAGGTCACTACGTGCCTATGGAGATGCAGTTGTGCGTCATCTGTATCTTGTTAATGAGAATGAGCTGGCAGGTGAGTGTGGGCCTCTTAGGGTTCCTTCGACGTTGAAACAAGTGCCGGAAATAGCCGGTTGCGCAACGTACATTTCTCTGAAGCCTCCACGAAGGCGACCAAGAGCCGCTGAGGTTGAGAGTCAGCAAAGTTTTGATGAGGCTGAATCAACATTCAGAGATTCTGTACCTTCTCGTGATACCCTCGCGCAGAGCAGGGTATCTTGAGATACTGGCGAGAAGCGATGATATTTGGGTATGCACCAGGATACAGGCCTCACTTCATAGCCCTTGTTTTGGCAGCGTATAGATTTGTGAGTTGTTCACCCTTACCAACAATAGTTGCTTTAAAAAATATGGCTTTCTAAAGTAAATGGAACAGCTTTACCCAAAGAAAGGTGGATGAAGGGTTTTGTGTTTTTTCACCCCAAAAGTTTGTGTGCACAATAGGGTACCATCCAAACAAGTATATTATTGAGGACCTGCTTCATTCATGAGGTACCCCCTTGAAAAATTGTTGGCTGCTGTTTTCTTAATAAAGGTTCAATAAGGCATGTAATTATTGGGGAACCTTGCATTTTGATGATTTACAAATGCATATGCCTTTCAAGGGTAAATGGACCGGCTTTACCCAAAGAAAGGTGGATAAAGGGTTTTGTTTTTTGACCCCCAAAAGTTTGTACCCAGTATGCACAATAAGGTAACATCAAAACAGTTAGTTATATTATTGAGGATCTGGGCCATTCATGGGGTACCCCCTTGAAAAATTATGTGGCTGCTGTTAATTAATAAGGGTTTAATAAGGCATCTAATTCTTTGGAAATCCTTGCGTTTTCAAGGCTTTAACATGGATATGTTTTTAAAGTGAATGGACCAGCTTTACCCAAAGAAATGTGTATAAAGGTGGATAGAGCTCCTCCTGCAAAAATTGGATCTGAGAAAACACTCTCACAATAGAGGCCTACCCCCCACAACTGGCAGGATACTGATTTATTTTGAAAGAAAACTCACAATAGGGTACCAGGACACTAATCGGCGTCCAACATTAATGTATATTCACATGTCATTGATATATATATATATAATATGTGTAATATTCATTTATATTCACAGGATGATTTAAACATGTGTTTTTTTAACCCCCAATTGTCGGCCGTTAAAGGTCATCAGGTCACCTTCCAGCGATAGGTTCGGAGAGTACATGGGCTCCACAAAATTCTACGAGATCCCACGTGAACTCCCAAGCCGTGGTGGTGTGTGTCGCTGGCAGGGGGAAGCAATTAATCTTAAAAATTGTGATTAATGGCTATAAATACGGTATAAAGTGGTTATTACTTGATGGTTATTAAATATTAATCAAAAAAATGGTGATTAATGGCTATTACTCCTCCATGCTTGGAGCTGCGGTTGAGGTGACTTAAATGGGTAGAAACATGGTGAAATATCCCCATATGTGGTATATAAGCCCTATAACTATGCCCTGACCATATCCACTTATAACTGCTGGAACTACGTTTCCAGCTGGGGCAACTCAAATCCAGAATGCGGTGCCCCCAAACCCATAAAGTAGTTCGATATTCATAAACACAAATCTTTGCTCCAACCCATAGATGAATGATCGCCTCACTAGGGGGTCAATTAGTTCTGCTACATTAGTTTACCTTTATATTTATCCAATTTAATACCCTTGTTGTACTTATAAGTTGACCTGGCGAGAACTGGGTCACGACTTTGATAGTTGGGGTTGCGGAGTATGTGAGGTGACGGGTGAATGGTGTGAATGTTGCAGTAGCTTCACGGATTAATCTGCGTTTTGATCAAGGCATGGTTTGTATTCTGCTGAATGCTAACTTTTCTCCCAGGGTATCTGTGAAAGATTACTGCCATGGCCGAGGGTCGAGACTAGAGACTGGGACTTGGGAGAGTTTCCGGTTGGACGTCATCTAAATCTGCCAACATGTTTTGAAAGCGAGAATTGGAGTATTCTTGTGTGACATCAACATCACCAACTTGAATCACTTGAACATGATCTACGACCTACGTTCAGTGACCCCACCAACTTCACTGGGTGTTTCACTGAAACGATTCAAGTTTGGGCCCAACATGGATTGAGACAAAGTCATGAGGCTATTTTGGTTGCAATCCTTTCCACTTATCTGAAATGCCCAGTCCATCCAGACTGTTTCATTGGTCTCAAAGTAGTCAGCCATACCATGTCATATGATGCAAGAGGAAAGAGGCCATTGGATGTTGCTCCCTTTGTTTCAGCCTGAGTAATTTGGTTTTGAATGAGGAGGTGTTCAGCAAGGAAAGGTTATGGGAGATCATGGTATCTCAAACTCTCAAAGCTATGCTTTCCTCGGGTACTTCCACTGAAAACCGCACCAAAGTTCATGGTGAATAGTCACTACAGTAGCTGTCTCTGGCTCGAGTTTAGATCAGTTGGATCATTGAAGACACATGAAGACACCATCTAGAGCAATTCTTGAAATGACAATATGTTTGGATATTTTTGGCTATACCATTTTTTGGACGAACTGATATGTCCTTAGCCATGATGTGTCCATTTTTTCTCAGGTGCCAGTCTTGGAACAGTCCCTTAAGGTATGGCGTGGCTCGCGTATGGGAAACCGCGGTTGACGTTTTTCCTCCATGATATGTAGCTACTATTCTGTTTGAATTTAAATAGTCAAACTTGTCAAACTGATGGATTACATTTGTACATATATCAACATGATATAATTAATGTTTGGTTAGCTATATTACTATTTATACAGTAGATCTGAGAGATAAATTGTCGAACCATGGTAAACCTACCTTCTGTAGAGGGCGTCCAAAATCATACATGGAACTTCCATTAAAGATGTCTATAATTTACCGGCAAAAAAGATCTGGAAGCAAGCATCTTTTCTACAAAACAGTTGGAGGGAATGATTTGGTACGAGGTTTTGCTTCTACAAAATAGAGAACATGTATTCTGAGTGAATTATAGCAACCTCATAGTAGATGATGGTGAATTGTGAAAGTTTCACAAACTGGGCGAACCTTTCTGATTCTGGAAGTATATAGATTACATACGTTGTCCAGACGTAGTAAAACGCAAAATCCATGAAAATCCTACGAAATGGCTAAGGGATATCCAAGGTAAGCCTGCCATGACAACATCAGCAGCACACATCCCAAGGGTCTGGACCTGGGAGAGCGTGCTGCTTGCAGTTCCCTGCGGCCTGATTTTTGCATGCTGCCTCTGTGAACGATGCCTGCAGGTCTTGCGACTGGCTCTCTCGGAGCTGAAGACAGGCGATGAAGGACATGCATTGAACGATTCTGACCCTGCCAGCTCTGACTCTGGAACAGATACATCAGAATTCATGGCATTCCTTTTTGGAAAGCAATCTGTGGCATCAACAGAACTGGACTGGGATGAAATCGGTCGGCAAGTGCGAAGGGAAGCTCGGCTCATGCTTGCGGTCGCAGTGCTGCCGTTGGTGTCTGCTCCATGGACCAGTTGCCTCAGTGGATCACCAACATGGCTCTACATTTCGTACCTTCCCTTCCTCCTACGTTCGAAGATGGTCGAGTACAAGATCATCAGGAAGTTGGGAATCCAGTGGCGGCCAGCGCTGCTCTTTGAGTATGCCATTGGGGTGCTGGAACACCTGGACTGGTTCACAGATGGCGCATTTCCAGTGCAAGCTTACATGTGCGAGCCAGGTATCACAGACACATGGGCAGCGGCATTTGACCAGTCTTGGGGCTGGGTTTGGGCCCCCATCATCCGCCTGCTTCACTTCTTTGGTGTAGCCCTCCTGGTGTTGATTCTGTCTTTTGCAGCGCAGCAAAGTGCTCTGGTGCCGTTTTGCTACTGCGACAACGATTTGCCCGACTTTACCATCTGGGATCAGCGTCACATCGACAAGCAGAAGGAGTTTCCCGTGGAATGCCGATGGCCCACCACGCTGATCAAGGAAAGAAACCAGGCATCTCGAGCCGCCTTGTCAGCAGATACGGCCTGTTTCGCTGCTGTGGCAATGCTGTTTGATCAGAGAAAAGATGCTGCAGGGGACAAATGTTGGGACATGAGTCGGCCAACTTTCAAGGCTGAGGACACCTTTCAGGTCACTTGTGGAAGGTTGAGAATCAGGCCCTTTTCCACGGTCCTGTTCAAAGTTGTGCTGGAGAACCTAGCACAGCTCTATTTGCAGGTGAGCTTTTATGCCATCATGTTCCATGATCTTAATCCTCTTGCACGCTTCAAGCTGCTTGTCAGTATCAGTGCTGGCCTTCTATCAGCTTTAAAGAGGCTAATCGATGTGGCATCGGCACTGCAACAGAATGGTTTGCATGTATGTTTTGGCTGGTTGTTGTATGTCCTGCCGGGCATGATCGTTCTTGTTTGGGTCAGTCTGAAGCTCTACTTTGCTCACACATGCCCGCATCATCAGTGGAACTTCTCTACTGGGTGCGTTGGCTGAAAACCGTTGGCCAATTGCTGAAATCGTACAAGAAAAGGATCGAGTTGACGGAGATGCAAACAGTATACCCCAGATATCCCCGAATATCTTAGATTCATGTTGGTTATGTCCTCATATTGTTAATAACTTCGTACGTTTTTTGGGGGGCGAAAAAGCGCCGAATATATGTACGATTATATAATATTAATATTATATATGATATTTGGTGTATATATATATATACATATATATATTTATATATATGCATATATACAATATTATACCATATTATTCCATATACAATATACATATCAATTTGAATACATGGACCTACATCTTCCGGTTTCCTGTCAGAAAGGTGAACAACCCAAAAATCATGTATGGTAAATTCACCCAATGGTGACAAAGTCAAAGGTATTTGGAAGGCTGTTATGATGCATTCTCATCCAGCTGTTTTCTTTAAATACAACATCCTGGTTTTCATTTAACCTATGGTCATGCTGACAGCCACTTCTCAGATTTGCCGCCCAACATGACGCAGAAGGACGTCAATACCTTTCCATTGCAGCTTGGAGGAATCATCCCAGGCAGAAAGTGATCCACGTCCACGTGGATAATTTTCCTGGGGAATAAGTCCCCAAATTGGGGTGATCCCATTGAATATATGTTGGGTTGCCACTCCCCTCACTGAGAGCTTTGTGAATGTTGTATTTAACTAGATCTTCCCAGATAAGCGATGTGTCGCCAAGCGTGGCAAGCACGTCAAAATACTGGGATGCAACATCTAAGAAAAAAGACTTCACTGTACATGGTGGTTGCTAAGGGAAATAATCTCTCATTTGGGAATGGTCTCAATCTGCCCAGAATATTCCGGAATGGATCCCATAAATCCCCAGTGTATCCGCATTAAATCCACTATTGTTCATGCTCAAATCATGGTTAAATCCCTACAATGTGGGTAAAGCAATCATAAACCACCCATGACTGGGAATGGTTTATATCACCTACTCTCTGGTGATGACTGGGGGATGGTTGATGACATTGTTTACCCACATGATTGTGCATGTCTCCGTGCATGGTCTAGGTGTTTGGTGCGTTTTCCTCATGGCGCCGTGGGCAGCGGAAACGCCTTGGACTTTTCCAAAGAGCTGAGTCTGGCGGCGGCTCGGAGATTTCCGATGGATTTTTGGGGCGAAAAACTTCGGGGGTTCAAAATGGTAGGGACCATAGGGAATATGGAATTACTATGAATGTGGATGATGAAGGATATTTCTTGGGAATATGGATTTATTCATGAATCCGGATGATGAATGGTAATCATTGGGTATGGAATTACTGAGTAATTCCATCTCGATGATGCAGTGAGACATCGTTGTTTTTGTTTCCCACGAATGTGACATGGACGCATTGTTTTAAAGAATCGGCAGTTCAAGCCTTGGTAGTTTTCCCTGGCCGAGCGAACGATGGCAGTTTGCTCACAACGGGCGACGGGCAAACCAGCGTTGAAAAAGATTATGGTTTACCTTTGAACCTTAGCCATGACTACCATTATAGGGTGTTTAATTTTACACGTGTATCCATTTCATGCGGGGTTTAATCAACAAATGTGTGGGATTTGAACATCAAAATATTGGTATGTGGCTCGATTCATGTCAAGTCTAATTTCAAGATACACCAAGTCGTGCTCATGGCGGTCACGGCATTTTGTTGGACTAGAAGATGGCCTTTGGCCACTGTTAGTGGCAAGAAGACTTGGGAGCTGCGCAGCATGCCTTGCATAGCGCCAAAGACAAGCCCCACTGGGAAGCCCTTGCTTGGTGAGATGACGATCACAGGCGTTGCTGGCGGAGTTTTAAACCACATGCAAAGACCACAGGAAGCGGCTCGAATGATACGTGCTTCTTGCTTTATTTCACTAAGTTACATGGGATTTGTATTAAATTTGTATGGTGGGTTTATCTACGGTTGAGTGGATTCATGACATTGCATATCTTCCATTTCCTGGGCAGACCTTGGGCGGATGCTTTAGTGGTTTATGTTCTTTGCCGCGGATATGCACCGTCCAGCTTTTAAACAAACCTGCGGGGGTGTCTAAGATGTGCCTTTCTCTGGGATGTTTAGACTATTCTCAAAGGTTAATACCTGACAGTTATGGCCATTTATTAGTCATAACTGGTTATTTCCATGGGATTATACATTCTATGCATGGGGTTAGTTCAGTACTTATAACATCTTATAACTGGTATAACTCGGGCCATAACTATATGAATCACATGTTTCATGGGTGAATCATGTCCTTCATCGATCATCCTTCATTTTATGCCCCAATCCTGACCTCAACACCGCCCGGTCCAGGCCCAGGTGTCATTCATCCGGCCCAAAAACTGAGGCCAACCCCTTCTGGTGGTTTTCCAAAGATCCAAAATCAGAATCCATGAATGATATGAATGGGAAATCCAAAAAAAACAATTGATCATCATTGATCCATTGCTCATTTCTATGTGGTTCTTTCCCAAAAAATAGGGGTGATCTCACTTGATGCTTCCCAGTCACATGGTGTGTGGGGCCCTCGGATGACTATGGTGTATGGATGTGTATGGTTATATCGAACAGGCGCCTGTGATGGGTGAAAATCAACCGACCAATGTCATCATTATGCCAAAAGTAACTTGGGTTTTTTCCACATTGTTAGGATAGTAGATATATCATGATATATCTATAGTTACTGGGATACTATTTCTAATATTTCTACCTCATAGTCATTAGAAACTTGGTTATACACAAAACTGGTTGGTGGTTTGGAACATGATTTTTTTGACTTTCCATATATTGGAAATTTCATGATCCCAACTGACTTTCATATTTTTCAGAGGGGGTAGGTATACCACCAACCAGATAATCTGGGTAAAATCCACCAACATATATAAACCCATATTTTCCACATTGTCATCATATGAAAACCCCAGTATTGTTATTGTCATATGGAAAACCATTGTTAGGTCCAATAAAAGTTTATACAGTACATCACCCATCATTTCGTTCGCACGTGCGAACTGACTTCGTACGAGCGCCTGGAGCGGCGTCTGGGCGCCGACCGAGGATTTTGGCCTCATGGCTTCGTTGACCTACGAGCACCTTGGTCGCGAGAGCTCCGATGGTATCCATGGGGAGTGCCTCGATACGGGGATGTGTTTGGTCGGTGGTTTCAAACATTGGTTTAGTATGGGGTATAATGATGGTTAATCATGGTTAATCATGTCTAATAATGGTTAATAATCACTGGTTTGGAACATTTTTATTTTCCATGTCATATTATATATGGGATGTCATCCGAAACCATTGACGAAGTCCATCATTTTTCAAGATGGTTAAAACGCACCACCAAGCAGTATGGATTGATTGATAAATTGGACTTCCGGAAATCAATTACCCCATTTGTGTGGTTCCAGTTTGAACTACAAGCAAAGTTCGGGATGCCTGATTTTGAAACTGATGATATGGGACATATGGGACATATGGGACATATGGGACATATGGGACATATGGGACATATGGGACATATGGGACATATGGGACATATGGGACATATGGGACATTGAGATTCATGCGATTGAACCTTCCAGGCTTGCAAATTTGGCCCCCCAAGCAGGGTGCTTCAGGATCAGGACACAGGTCAGCAGAGATGATGAGAGTTCCACCTTGGGAAGCAGTCAGCATCGCTGGGGCCCTGCAGTCTCTCAGCATTTTTTGGTTGTACAAGGTGGTGCCCCCAAGATAGCTAAGTTGGTGCCAATAAGTCTAATAACTATGGTAACTAGGACTTATGGTAGATATATCATGGTATATCTATAGTTAATGGGATTATAACCAACAAACATCACTGCGGGGGCACCACCTTGTAGAATTTTCAATTGAAACTGCCATGAAAGGAGCGCCCACCATTTGTGGACCAAGCATGACAATGGGTCTAGAAAACTCTGCATCATATTCCTGAGCTCAAATTGCCCTCTGCTATGGGTTTCTCTGAAACTAGACGCCATGTTCATCCAGTTTCCCTATCAAAAGAACATTTTTGGGTCTATACCTAATTTTCAGATTAAAATGTTGCCACAATTCGTTGTTTCTTTCAAATGTGAATTTCAACATCCCGATTTTGTTGGGATCCTCATCCATTGTGGGAATCCAACTGCCTTTTTGTGCAGTTGGAGAAAATGAGTGTTGTACACATTGGATTCTAACCCTCAATAAGTTGGGATCATGATATCACTATATAACTTATTAGTAGATTTTCACCAATGACTTAGTAGAATTTCACTCTGTATAACTTATTCAAGTAGAATTTCAGGCCTAAGCACTAGAAAAAGCGTAAGCAGAATTTCATGGAGAGCACACTCCACGAGGCCTCCCTCCCGTGTGGAAGAAGGATGTGCGCACTACTTCCCCAACTGGCACGTTGAACAGAAACCTCCCAGTGCCTGGGCTGCCTTGGCAGTTGACGGAGGTCGGTTGCCTGGCAATTGGAAGATTTTTTGGGACGTGATTGTTGTTGTGTGTTTTTAAGGCAGGGTCGAATAGAATAGCTGGGCCCAGCATCCAACAAGCTATGGCAGCACCAGAAAAGGAGGGGTGGATCTCAGGACCCCAGAAATTGCCTTCGAAACCATCCTCTATGTTTTGTAATACTAGATATGTCTGCATTAATGGGAACATCAATCTTGGAAATGTCAAACCTCGTCTACAGTTTACATGAAACCATGTTTGATGTCTTCCAGTAACCTGCTTGGGATTAGTATGATGGTTTTTTGGTATTTTTGAAAGTTGGTATCATCATTTGGGTTTTATGATCAAGTTCAGCTGTGGCGGAAGTGATTCCAGAAGCCTCAAAGTGCACAGTAGTCTCTAACTGAGCTATTAACAATACCATCGTTGATTAGTTACCAGTAGTACCCGCACGAGGCGGGGCGGAAGTTGCCTTAAAGATATATATAAGACCTTTCTCATCTATAGAACTTGCATGCGCCGTGCGCCAGCCAAGCCCGTGCGTGCGTGCACTCTGCGAAACTGATGTCGTGTTTCACATGTCACACTTGAAGCCCCACGTCACACTTCACACTTGACAGTCTTCACACTTCACACTGCACCCTTCGCAGTCAACACTTCACACTCCACACTTCTCACTTCACACTGCACTCTTCCCAATCCACACTTCACACTTCACTGCACGCTTCCCACTGCACACTCCACACTTCACACTTCACACTCCACACTTCACACTTCACACTCCACACTTCACACTGCACTCTTCACGCCCCACACTTCACACTGCACTCTTCACACTCCACACTTCATCTCATCTGAGCTCTTCTCACCTTATCCCAGCTCATCTCTTCTCATCTCATCTCTTCTCATATGTCACCTAAGCTTTCATGAATCACTTCCCAGTACTACTACTAAGGAACTTGCATGCGCCGTGCGCCAGCCAGGCCCGTGCGTGCGTGCTTTGTGCGAAGCTGTTGCAGTGTTGCTGTCCAAGAACATGACCTGCGCGCGACCCCGGTAGAATGCAAACACTTTCCTCACACTTCACATTGCACCAAAATTGAGAAAATCTGCTGACAAATCACTTTCGCAGCCTTGATGCAGCCATTCCAATACGATTTACGATCTTCAGCTGCAAAAGACAATAGTATTACGCATGCAGCCGCTGCACCAAGCAACCTTGACGCAGCCACTACAATGCGATCTGCAGAGACTGAGTTGCCAAACACAATAGAACTACGTGCAATGGCGTCGGAAATTGCAGCTCCAAAACCGGATCTCGACGCCAAAGCGACAAAAAGACGATTTTGAAGCATTTTTTAAAAGGAATTTTAAAAGGAAAATTATTAGCACCAAAATTGAGAAAATCTGCTGACAAATCATTTTCGCAGCCTTGATGCAGCCATTCCAATACGATTTACGATCTTCAGCTGCAAAAGACAATAGTATTACGCATGCAGCCGCTGCACCAAGCAACCTTGACGCAGCCACTACAATGCGATCTGCAGAGACTGAGTTGCAAAACACAATAGAACTACGTGCAATGGCGTCGGAAATTGCAGCTCCAAAACCGGATCTCGACGCCAAAGCGACAAAAAGACGATTTTGAAGCACTTTTTAAAAGGAATTTTAAAAGGAAAATTATTAGCGCCAAAATTGAGAAAATCTGCTGACAAATCACTTTCGCAGCCTTGATGCAGCCGTTCCAATACGATTTACGATCTTCAGCTGCAAAAGACAATAGTATTACGCATGCAGCCGCTGCACCAAGCAACCTTGACGCAGCCACTACAATGCGATCTGCAGAGACTGAGTTGCAAAACACAATAGAACTACGTGCAATGGCGTCGGAAATTGCAGCTCCAAAACCGGATCTCGACGCCAAAGCGACAAAAAGACGATTTTGAAGCATTTTTTAAAAGGAATTTTAAAAGGAAAATTATTAGCACCAAAATTGAGAAAATCTGCTGACAATTCACTTTCGCAGCCTTGATGCAGCCATTCCAATACGATTTACGATCTTCAGCTGCAAAAGACAATAGTATTACGCATGCAGCCGCAGCACCGAGCAACCTTGACGCAGCCACTACAATGCGTTTCGCAGCATCCCGTAGCAAACCTGCACCTATCTACGGACGTGGCAACATCAAATGACGACAATGAAGCAGCCATTCCAATGCAATCTGCAACTAGAGATTCAAGAACCGCATGGAACTACGCACACAGACACAACCACTCGTTGCAAAACACATAGGAGGAACAATTCGCGCACAAAACGACCGCAGCCGCACCCGCTGCACAGACGAGGTACCTTTCATCGTCGCCTGCAGCCACTTTACACGGAAAAACGCAAGGTTTCGTGCTCCGGCTTCCTCCCCAAAACAGAGCCCTTGCAACATCATGCAGCCATTCCAATGCGATCTGCAAGCACAGATTCCAAAACACCCTATAACTACGCACACACAAGCACACCCAAAGCAGCTTGAAGCCACCGTTACACTGCGGCAAAAAAAAACGATAAACCGACCGCAGCCGCACCCGCCGCACAGACGAGGTACCTTTCATCGTCGCCTGCAGCCACTTTACACGGAAAAACACAAGGTTTCGTGCTCCGGCTTCCTCCCCAAAACAGAGCCCTTGCAACATCATGCAGCCATTCCAATGCGATCTGCAAGCACAGATTCCAAAACACCCTATAACTACGCACACACAAGCACACCCAAAGCAGCTTGAAGCCACCGTTACACTGCGGCAAAAAGAAAACGATAAACCGACCGCAGCCGCACCCGCCGGACAGACGAGGTACCTTTCATCGTCGCCTGCAGCCACTTTACACGGAAAAACACAAGGTTTCGTGCTCCGGCTTCCTCCCCAAAACAGAGCCCTTGCAACATCATGCACCACTCCCCTTCATGGTTGCCAGTTCCCTTCCTCACCACTCCCCTTCATCATCACTTCCCTTCCTCTCCACTTCCCTTCGTCACCACTTCCCTTCCTCACCACTTCCCTTCGTCACCACTCCCCTTCTTCACCACTTCCCTTCGTCACGACTTCCCTTCTTCACCACTTCCCTTCCTCACCACTTCCCTTCGTCACCACTCCCCTTCATCATCACTTCCCTTCTTCACCACTTCCCTTCGTCACCACTTTCCTTCTCCACCACTTCCCTTCCTCACCACTTCCCTTCGTCACCACTCCCCTTCATCATCACTTCCCTTCTTCACCACTTCCCTTCGTCACCACTTCCCTTCCTCACCACTTCCCTTCCTCACCACTTCCCATCGTAACCACATCCCTTCGTCACCACCCTGTGTCATAGCTTCTTATTCTTTTGTTATGTATTGTCATGTGATCTACCACCCTTCATCATAGTCAATTTCATCGCTTCTTATTCTTTTGTTATGTATTGTTAGATTATGTTTTGTTATGTGATCTACCACTCTTCATCATAGTCAATTTCATCGCTTCTTATTCTTATGTATTGTTAGATTATGTTTTGTTATGTGATCTACCACCCTTCATCATAGTCAATTTCATAGCTTCTTATTCTTTTGTTATGTATTGTTAGATTATGTAATGTTTTGTGATCTACCACCCTTCATCATAGTCAACTTCATCGCTTCTTATTCTTTTGCTATGTATTGTTAGATTATGTATTGTTACATGATGTACCACCCTTCATCAGAGTCAATTTCATCGCTTCTTATTCTTTTGTTATGTATTGTTAGATTATGTATTGTTACATGATCTACCACCCTTCATCATAGTCAATTTCATAGCTTCTTATTCTTTTGTTATGCATTGTTAGATTATGTATTGTTGGATCACGTACCACCCTTCATCATAGTCAATTTCATCAAGTAAAAGTCATTCGTAACTCGGAAGTATTGCTTCCCAACTTCCTTTGATTATTCGGAATTATACGACCTGGTTTGATGGGGGTTTGGAGATGTTTGGAGAACCCATAGTAGGGAAACCTATCAACCAGCTAGTATAATGAGAGGGGTTAGTGGTGTTTTGAATGGCTCAACTCACTCAAGTACAGGCTTGACTGGATTCTTACAGCACCCTTAGGTATGTTGGTAACCAGTAAACATCTTTGAATATGGTTTATATAACCCGTTACATCCCATATGTATACCCTGATATATCCTCCAATTTCCTCCAATACAATATATATATATATATATATATATCGTTCACCAGGTTTTAACCAACATTTCTGCGGTTTAAACCGACATTTCTACTGAAGTCCCAGCAATGTCGTCCCCTATGGGGCCCATCATCCAGATGTGAACGATTCCGATTGGGTTCGCTTCGTGATGTTTACCTCGGACAACAACAGCAGCTTGGCTACAGGAAAGAAGCCCCCAAGTTATGGAAGATGTCTTTATATTCACCCATCAAGCTGTAATTTAATCTGCATGAAATACACCTGAATATATTTATATATATATATATATATATTTATATATACATAGTTATGTATGTATATATATATATATCTCTATCTATCTATCATGTTTGCCAACGGAAAGCGATTGTTCAGATGCCCCTTCTTGCATCTTGGGCTTTAAGTTTGATTACCCTATGTTCATTGGTTTGCCGGTATTTCAATTGTCAAATACAAAATCTTGTCAGTTAAACTTAAATTTCACTGAAGTTTCTGGATTATGTCCCCATGTTTGATGGTTAACAGGTTAACGCTGTTAACACATGTTACCCCACCACCCAAAATAAATGATGATCGATGATCCATGATCAATCCACATTTTTGCTGCAGGGTGGTGCCCTCCCACGTCGAAGTTTGTTGATAACCCCATTCACTAGATAAATAAATAGATAGATAGATAGATAGCGATGAGATAGAGGTAGAGGTAGAGAAAGAGATAGAGATAGAGATATAGATAGATAGATGGATGGATGGATAGACAGATAGATAGAGATAGATAGAGATAGATAGAGATAGATAAAGATAGATAGAGAGAGATAGATAGATAGATAGATAGAGAGATAGAGAGATAGATAGATAGATAGGTAGACAGATAGATAGATAGATAGAGAGAGAGAGATAGAGAGATAGAGAGATAGATAGATAGATAGATAGAGAGATAGAGAGATAGAGAGATAGATAGATAGATAGATAGATCGATAGATAGATAGATAGATAGATAGAGATAGATAGATAGATAGATAGATAGAGAGATAGATAGAGAGATAGATAGAGAGATAGATAAAGAGATAGATAGAGATAGATAGAGATAGATAGAGATAGATAGAGATAGATTTACTTAGTAAAACTCACATATACTTAGTTCAACTAATTTAGCGAACAAGTAAAGCCGATTTGTTTTGGTCATCGCTATCAATGTCCCCATTGATATTCCTAAATTTCTATCCACCCACAATAGTTCCTATTCAGTCTATTCAAAATGGCAGGGAGCTAAGGAGCTTATACCCTAAATGGGGAACTCAGGAGCTAAAAGTTTCCCAGCCAAATGATATAATTATTACCAGAATGTCGAATTTGCTGCTATGACCATTATGTCTATTGAGTATTGATATGTTGCATGAACCCGTAGAACTATTAATATCATGTCAACTTGATACCCTTCTTTCCACGGCAAAAGGGCGAGACCAAGCACGCATCGAACAGGAAAAGCGTCTAAGAAAGCAGGCGCGGAAACAAGACCGCGGAAGGCGCCATAGGGGAAGACGAGGCTTTGAACATCAGATGATCCACATCAATCAGATGATACATGATCAGATGATTTTTGATCATTGATTCCATGTAAAGAGCCAGACGAGGACACCAGCAAATTGAAGCGCTTGATTGGACTCAGCGCTTGCCTTGCCCAGGCGCCTCATTGAGGCAATTGAAGCGGTGAAGGCATAAGCAATTCAGTAATAGTTCATTTGGGTTGTCAATAATAGCTCATCCCATAAATAGGAATATGTTACATTAGGCGTTCATTTGGGCTATATGAATATCCCTATTCCCCAATGGACCTGACGGCTCTCCCCCTCATCCTCCAAGGTACCACCGTGATCGCGGTGCGCGGCACGTTGAATGCCCTGGACGTCCTGCACGACGTGACGCTGTGGCTGGTGCCCACCGTCCTGCAGCGCCTTGGACGGCCGAGTCCAGCGGCAAAACATGGGGATGTTCAACAAAAAATGGGGATGAAAGGTGACTTTCACCAGCAAAATACTTAGGTTCAGCATGGTCTGAAGCAGCAAAAGTGGGAAGTACCGTAAACGTTGTGTTTCCTGACTTGATGGGATAAAGAATCTTGAAATTACAAGCCCCATGGGCAGTGCGTACTGTACCCTTTGATCATGGACGACCCCCAACAAACGATGGGGACTTCAACAGATTCTGAGCAACAAAGATGGGATGTTGACAAGAAAAAATGCTTAAACATGAGGATGTTGTCTTCAAAATCTGGCGATTGATCTTTGGGTCCTGTGGAAACCAAACATGGGAACAACCCCGATCTCTTGAGAAAACGTGAATCTATGTATGAATGGATTTTCAAGGATGAATTTACCAGTGCCACCATGTTTGATTGCAAACAGTTAAAACCCTCATTGGTGCTAAAACTGCCGCTTGGACCTTCATTTTTGAAGATTGAGTGCGGAAATCGGGATTGTATAACAGACTACCAAAACCGGGTACCCTGATTTTGCATGAGTTTTCTGGACTGAATACCTTCATGCAGAATAAAAACATTGACAGGACATAGGGGCAAACACCATAAAAGACCAGGTTTACTGTCGATATGTTCAATACCCCCCATTTGTTGGCAGTGAAACCCCAATTCTTCCTTGTCAAATTCGTTCTGTGTTTGCTCTTCAACTGCTTGGAGGTTTCAGATAGCATGTGCATACAATATATACATATTTAAGTACTATACAATATCATTACATACATATACGATATATATATATATATATACATACAATACATACATATACCATGGATAACATATACATACATACATACATACATACATACATACATACAATACACTACAATACATTACAATACAATAAATTACGCTACAATACATTACAATACAATACATTACAATACAATACATTACAATACAATACATTACAATACAATACAATACAACACAATACAATATATCCATTTCATTACAATACATTACATTACATCACATTACAATACAATACAATACAACACAATACAATACAATGCAGACATTACATTACATTACAATACATTACAATACATTACAATACAATACAATACGACACAATACAACACATCACATTACATTACATTACATTAATGCAATACATGCAATACATGCAATACATACAATACATACAATACATACAATACATACAATACATACAATACAATACAATACATACAATACAATACAATACATACAATACATACAATACATACAATACATACAATACATACAATACATACAATACATACAATACATACAATACATACAATACATACAAATACATACAATACATACAATACATACAATACATACAATACATACAATACATACAATACATACAATACATACAATACATACAATACATACAATACATACAATACATACATACATACATACATACATACATACCTACATACATACATACATATATATATATATACATATATATATGGTCTTCGGAAGATCGTAACCCGCCCACATATCCCCATGTGTACCTTTGGCATGAGGTTAAAACCAGAAACCAGACGGGAAGTCATTGTCAACCGTGTGTCAGAGTTATTCAGGGTTTGGCTAAGACGCTAGAGCTCTGATGGTGCAACTTTGCTGTGCCAAGTGACGGGCACGTTAATTTATTTTGTGTGGAAAGTGGCAAGATGAACATCCCAACATCCCAATCTGCGTTTTGAACGCGTGAACCAGATTCTAGCCAAATGACCTATATAGAGCTTTAAATATGATCCCATCTGGCACAGGATCAGTTTTTCTACCTCGAAACCGACATTGAACCATGCAACTTTCGACTTTCGAGATGCCCTGAGATCACAAGTTTTTTGAACCTCCCCATGTTTCAAAGGCCGAATTGGAACAGATTTGGATCCAACTAAGCTCGTCACCAGTCCGTGGTCCACCGGCTTGACCCATTCGGTCCCAAGATATCATGTTTTTTTGTTTTTTTGGGAGGCATCCTATTTTCATATATCTAACATGGGGGTTGTTAGTTCATAAACCAACCAACCTAGAGCGATTCCGAAGTGCGACCGCGCTGTGCCGCATGCCTTAGGCTTTGCAACTACATCGGCCCAGATGTCTCGGATGGCGCTTGGGGAATCTCCATGTCAAGGCAATGGAGGGTTTCTACCGCAAGTCATTGAGGATGGTTTGTTAACCTCAAATTTGGTAAGCCTTGGATTTGTCATTTGCTAAAAGATGGGAACATATAGTTAACTAATTCATACATATGTTTGCTCTGTGTTTTTTTACTCAGCAGTTTGCCGTACATGGAAAAAAAATATATATATATATACTAACCAGCTCATTTTCTGTTGTGGATATCTAAGCTTTGATGTGGCAAGTCGATCTGCATTTTATCCTTCGACCATTAAATTTATCATTTGTTGGTTCTCTATCCCGGTCGGGCAAAGATTGCCTGTATCTGCCATTGATGTCAAAAGCATCCTTTTCCGGCCATAGATTTCCACATATTTCTCACATCTTTAGACGATCCCCTTTGAAACCTCCAGATATCCTTTTCCAAGTGGTTTGTTGACGGTAAATTAAAGGTGGTAAGTTTTCGGATAGTTGGGCAGATTGATGATGATTCATGGCAGGATGTTTAGCAGTGCACAGCTTCGGTAGGGAAGTTTCATATGGGGTTCCCCGAAATACATCCATTTTTGGGATCCCCCACTGTTTCAGAAATTATAGGGCCTGACAGACTGACAGACCCGATATACTTTGGGAGAATATACCACTGGATGTGCGGTCCAGGTGTGGTCCAGGTGGTAAATGGCTCAAAATCATATCACCTAGTTAATATACTGTACATGCTTTGCGGATCCACTCTTTTACTAATCGTGTTCCAGAAAATAACTCTTCCATTTGTTTAACTCTCTTGTTCCAGAACAGCTTTTACAACTTGGCAGGTTGTCAGCTCTCGTACCTTTGCAACTTGGCGAAGTTCAGCTGTTGGGCTCCGTAGCATCGCCTGTAAATATATACATCTTTGCACGTTCAAAGACCACAGATTCATATATTCAAAGGAATATCCAATAAGTATGGCTAAATAGATGTTTATAGCGGATATATCGAACATTATCGAACTACACACTGGGGTTTCATACACCACACATTTCACTGTGGACTTGGGGGGGGCACCATCCGCCCATTCGCAGCGCCTTTTTTGCAGGGCGCCGATCCGAAAGCAGACCACCTTTGACTCCGTGTTTTTAGCGGTGAAGTACATGATGAGTAAACATCCCAACAGGTGGGGATCCATAGGATTCCACGGGGCTTTCTTGGGAGTAGGGCTGTGAAGCATTTAAGTTGTTTTTTCTTGATTTCCGGCTGTGGGCCAGTGTTGTTGTTTGTTTTGCGTTTGTTTGTTCAGGGGGAATCTGATTCAGTGTCTTTTTTTCTGGGGAAACAACAGGGGAACTGGATGTTTGGAGTTTGGATGATGAAAACTTTGAAGATCAGCCACCGAGCCAATTTCATCTTCGCGACTGCATTCCAGCAGTTGAACAACTGGAAACCCATGAAAAACAATTGGCATCCTACATGTTGGCACCAAGAGACGGTGTCCTTTCGAAATCTAAGTTCCTTCCTTTCGGGACACCATTTGTTTGGTTTGTGATGTCAACCAGCAGCTCAACAACAGAGTTCAATGAATCCTTGCAAAGGACCTTGAGCTCAAATAGAATCCAACCTGCACCAAATGAAGAAATGGCAACCCACTAAATGCTTCTTTTTTTGGGATTTGAATCACCAAATCAGATGGCTCGGTCATTCAGGCGACAGGCCTTGTCAGCTTTTTGTATCATCGCTTTTTTTGGGGGTACTCAATGACTTGACACGGACCCTAATCAGATGCTTGTTGACGGTGATTCCTTTCATGGGCCGGCGGCATGTTCACATAAAACCGGCGGATCACCACCATTTCCGGGGTCGGAAGTGATATGCCAGTCATGATTATATGGATTATGTGAATAACATGTGGTTGTGAAACACACCTACAATTTCTTTTTTTGGCAAATTTGTTCATGGCCAGCTCATTGGGATAGACTATAGTAAGCCCCAGAACGATTATTATTTTTAATCCAGGATGGTAGTTCGATGTCTTTTCTTCATACAGCTATGGCCCTTTACCAGTTATAAGTCAGTTATAAACATGTATAACCCCTTTTATGGAATGGCAACTCCATATTTGATAAAAATCACTGTTAACAAGTGTCATTTTAACAGCTTTGAGAAACTTTTGGGCACCTAACGTTTGGGGATTGCTTCTCCTCACGCCAGGTTGTACTATCTCACCGGACACTCTTTGGGGGGTGGCATCGCCAAACTGGTGGTCCGAGCCTCAGGGCAGTAGGTAACGGTCACACGGGAAGGTTAGGCTTCACGACTCTCTATAGAATTTGAATATCATGACGATGAGGATCAAGATCATAGTATTAATATGTATTCATGATAAAGTGATGGTAGATGATGTTTAATGAATGGCTAATGGTGATCAGGAACATGATCAGGATGATATTAGATCACGTTGGTAGATGTGCATTCAGCACAGCCTAGCGCCTCATGGGCATTCTTGGTTTTCATGATGGAATACTACAAGGTGGTGCCCCCAAGATCTAAGTTGGTTTTGTAGCTATAAGGTTTTCAGGGGGTTCCAAAAGTGTCGGCCCAAGACCTACCAGTGGTGCACCGTGACAGCAGATGCTTGGGAATGGGTTTAGCCATGTCGTTGTCTCCTTGGGTGGCTCCTGACTTTGGACTGAAGTTGCTTGGGGATGTGTGGTCCCTTGTTGCTGGCCTGCTGGCCTTCATACTGATGGTTGTTCATTTTGTCCTTGTGGCTGAGCACAAGCCGATTGAGGGGAATGGTCTTCATCAGTGCACCATTTGCTATCCGGTTCGACTACGCTACCTACATCCATTACAAACGCTTCGGGTGACCAATTTGGAGCACTTCGTTGTGATCATGTGCTATTTGGATGCGCTTGTGCTTTGTGCTCTTGCAGCTTTCACTTTGCCCTTGCCCTTGAGCTTCTGCGCATCAGGCTGGATGATGAAGGTTGGCTCAATCACTTGCAGTTGCTGGCTTGACACGTTGAAGCACCAGGTGCCAAGATTACAACCGGGATGGCTTTGCGCTGGCATCATCATGCGCTGATGGGTAGAAAGACGGGTGCAACACTCGGAGTAGGATGAGGACCCACTACACTTGAGCCTGTGAGGCGGCAACCGGCATCCGCTTTCCTCACATGTTTTGATTTTGCTTTGGTAGTCAGTGGGCGAAACCGTCCATGTCCTTGGTTTCTCATGGCCCGCAGTGGCCTTGCCGGTTGTTAATGTTATCCAGTAGATGTAAGGAAGTCGGCAGGCGAACTCCGGCTGCCCTCTCTGACTTGAATTTTACTGTGTGGAACCCTGATGACAAGATCGGGTGTTAGGTAGGTGTGACCTGTTGGACACCCGGGCCTGCGCTGCAGCCGGCCCGGTGCTTTGAGACCGTGCGCGATAAGGGGGTTCCAAACCGACTTTTGACTGGGAGGCACCACATTGTAGCTTCACCTTAGTTCATTTATTGCCCATCTACCTATACTTGTTTTATCAGCATAAGCCCAACAGTCAATCTCGTTTTATACCTCCTTGTATGTAATATACTCATCATGGCCACATTCTACTAATCTAGTAGTCTAGTAATCAGAATCTATCTGGCCACGTTATCAATCTAGAAATCTAGTAATCTATTGATCATGGCCGTCATCTTCATGGCCCGCATGGGGGCACCAAGGAACTTCAACTGCAAATGCCAGCGCCTCAGGGCTCGTCGGCTCGCGAAATCCCTGGAGCAATGTAGGCGAAATGTTGGATGAAGTATATATTTTCACATTATTTTATCCCACATTTATTTTCACAAGTGGATGAAGTATATATATATATATAAATATATATATATATATCTGAAGCTCTGGTTAGCGTGAAATATCCACGTATGGGTCAACATTCTAGGCTATGATTTCTGCCAAATCTGTGAGCCTGGGATCAAGAACCGCATATTTTTCTCATGTTGACCCATATCCTCAGATTCCTCGGCCTGAATTGATAGCATCAATAATAGTAACATGAATAAGACATGTTATATATCATGTTATTCTACCTCATGGGTTTAGTAGAATAACCTTTAAAGGCCTAAGTTTTTCTGCCTTAACTGAGGGTCAAAGACTTCGACGCTAGATTTTTTGGTGAGGGAGTTTATCTGTGGGTTAAACCTGGATTCGGGTTTGGACAAATCTTACATATCGATTTTTCGGTGTGGGAGATTTTTTTAAAGGGATCCAGTGGATCCAGAAGAATGAAACATGGGTGACCTGAACTTATATATAACACCATGGGCTTACAAGATGATTACAGTATTATTTCTGGGATGTGTTTGGAGCACCAAACACTGCCCGAAATACATGGAAATACGAAGTCAGTAACAAAACCCCCAAAAAAGGTCACTTATCCCCAACATTTACAACCATTCAATACCATTTACAACATTTTATAACCCAACTATTTATTCAATACCATTTAACTGCTGTTTCATGCGATTGAAAGCCGCCCGTTGGAACCTCCGCGGAAGCGCCAGGAACATCAAACCTTTGACGGTCGCCTTCGCTGCGCCAGGTGAGGAGATCAGAAACGGAGCGAGCTCCATGGTGTCTGAACCAAAGAACTGGCGAGGGATTCAGAATTTTCACATTATATCAAAACAATAAAAATAGTAATATAAGAATATATATATATGTATATATACTGTGATATGTATATATATATATATATATATACATATGTACTATGATATATAATTATATTTACTGTTATATAATCTACTATTTCATTTTTTATATATACTATTTTATATTTACTTATAAATATATACTATTATATATAGATACTATTTTTTATATATATATACGATTATATATATATACTATTATATATATATACTATTGTATATACTTATCACACCAGACTTGCTTTATGATTATGGTTTGTGGTTGATGATACTTTGCTTTATAATTATCTGGGTGTCAGCTGCCATCAAATGGAACAAATTAGTGTGTATATTGACATGTCCAAAAAAATCCAAACAAGATGTGAAAGGATTAGATGAAGCTTTGAATTGAAATATTAGATGATTTATGATTGATGATTTTGTTGGCCAAAAAAATATGATTATGTATGTTGATCCCGGCAAAGTGATATGATATGATGGTCCCCACTCGTCTTCACATATTCAGGGGGTGAAACCGTCGAGCGAGACAAGATGATTTTGGAATGCGATTTTACGACCTATGGGGGTTGAAAAAGACTCAAAAAGATGCCTGTTGTTGAACCTTTAAAGAGCGGGAGGTCTAAACAACACCTGAGAAGAATCAACGATGAATCAAGATATCTCTGATAATCTCCCAAGGGTTGGTCATTAACACACCTTGATTAATTTGACCTATCTGCGATAGTTTAGATATGATATGATATGATATGATCTTATCAAGGGAGATGTTGGGCAATTGCTTCAAGTGGCGAATACTTGATGTGACGGTATTTATGTGTTTGTTGAAGCCAGCAAATAAGAAAATGCTGCACAGCAGCAAGAGCTAAGCCATGCTAAACCGATTTTGAACGCCGGCAGTTAAAGATGGCAATGGAAAATATCCTTTTATCGATGTTTTCCCACTCAAACCTCCTTTTTTCAAGGATTTCCCAGGAGTTCCCAGCCATGTTTGATTACTGAAGAGTACCACCGGTGAAGGGATAGCGTTTTGTTTTGAACCATTAGGTAATGGCTTTGCAATCACTGAGTAGTTGCACCTTTGGCACCTGGCGAAATAGAAAAGGCCATCATAGTCCTTGCGGTGCCAGGTCGATTTGTGTCTTGAAAATTTGACGATGATTCTGGCTTGAGTGTTTGTCCATGTGTATTGATAGTTTCCCCATTACGTAATATTTCTCCATGATATTAGCTTGGGAAACATCCAGCCATGGTGTTGGATGGTTCTTGGATGGTTTTTGGTGCAGGTGTAAAGCATGCAGCGCGGGTGCTCTTCCATAAACAATCGCTTTCAGGCGCCACTGGCTGAGTCAAGGAGTTTAGGGACCGATGCAGATATATATATATATATCTCTCTCTCTCTCGGAAAATCACATGGAAGACTCAACTGACTCAACTAGCTACAATACTCATGGGACTTTAAACTGTTGGAGGGTCTAGCAGTTACAGGACTCAACAGGGTTGCAAGGGCTCAACAGTTCAAACTGTCAG